TAGCTAGCCAAAGAGAAAAAGAAATTTAATAATTCAATATTTACCTATGTTTATCAATCTTTTAAAAGAAATGTATCAACTGTCTTGAGAAGCATGTAATTTCTTAGAAAAAAAATTACACTAGGACTATATATATATATTTAAATAAATTATGTTAAATCAATACAATGGAATATAATGAAACATTAAGAGGAACTAGGCATTTCTATACCTGTTATATAACAATCTTCCAGTTATAATTAAAGTTAAAAAATATAAAAATGCCTCAAAATCTCTCCTATAACTTGAAAGAAAAGACATGAGCTTTCCTATTTCGTTTGTCCACACCGTCATTTATATTATTAAAGGGCCACTATATATATATATATATATATATATAGTTAGCACTAAGGCAATCTTTACATTTAACCACTTATCTCATGCAACTTCACTACACTGCAGACTTTCAAAATAATTATTGAAAACATCAATGAAGTATGTTTACCAATTTAGGGCACTTTTTAAAACTTTGTAAAATTTTAGTGTGCCTTATATGCCCAAACCTGCAGAGGAGCTGAAAATAGAATGATGATGAGCATTTGTAGCTAGTAGTTTATGCTCACATTATCATTACTTACAGTAATTCCACAGTAAGAACAAAAGGGGCAGAAACACAGCTAATGAGTACTCTGCGTGAGTAAGGGAAGGCTTCCAGAAGGAAAGCTCTGAATCGGGTCTACTGAAGTGTGAGCAGGAGTATGCCGGGTTTGCAGGGGAAAGGAGAAGAGAGGGAGGAATGGCAAAGCAACCATCCTAGTGTAATGTAGAAAAAAGAAAACGGACTTATTCATGAAGAGGACTTACCAAATCCTGAGCGGTTCGATGCTGTACAGAAGCCTATGTCTTCAGCACCGCAAAAGAGGGGGCTGGTGGCAGGTTTAAGGGCTGTACAGCTCTAAATGCAGATGGCTTACAGGCCAAACTAAGGAACTGAGATCAGATGTGACTGTATGAGCCATAGAGAATGTAGTTTTCCAAGACAGATGACACGATTGGTTTTATTTTGTAGAAAAGTGATGCTGGCAGCAACTCTGATCTCAGACTATAAGAGTAAAGACTGACATGCTTGACTCAGCTACTGTGCCAATCAGACACACGGTGGAGAGAAGCAGCTACATGCAGAATCTATAGGCTGGCACTGCTTTAAAGGTCCCTCATACATGGTATTTTCCTTTTCCATAATTTTTGGTGTAGATGTACCCTTTGCATAGAAAAAGTTGATGCAGTAAGATTGTCAAAACTGGAGGCAATATAGTCTTTTTGTTTTTCCTCCCATCATATTATTAAGATTAGGAAATACAAGACCGGGAAACAAGAGATCTGGATTCCAGGCCTGTCCTGTGCTGTGGGACTTGGGCATGACCTCTAAAAGCTCTGGTTTTCTTATCTGTAAAGAGGAAATCAGGCTGAAGGATCTGAAACTCTTCAAATTTCTAAAACGCTACATGATACTGATACATCGTTAATCTTCACGTCTTGAAAATAATGCAAATACAATCATCTATTCTAACTATGAACCAAATGTGAAAAACCCATCAAAAACAGGCAGACACTTACTGTACCTATTATTTACTTTTCTGTATCTACATGAACCTTCATTTATTTATGAAGGACTCTGTGACATACTTTATACTATGTAGTCACCAACTAGTTGTCAGAAAGCCTATGGTAACAGCACTTCATTTTCAATAACATCTCCAAAAATGAGCATTCTTTTTTTTATTAGAGTGGTTCAAAAATAAAATGAACGTCTACAAAGATGAAGAGTGGTACTGCTGCGTTCAAGTTTTCAAATATAACATCATCTTATGGAATCGTGTTTGTTCAAACCTCTTACTGACAAAAGAACTTTTTAACAATATTCCTTTATCAACCAAAATTAAGTGTTTCACAGCAGTAAACTACAGGCCTTATTTGAATTTTACCACTTTGTCCATTAATGGCCTTTTTCTGTTTCAAGATCCGACTCAGAGCACTACATTGCATTTAACTGTCATGGCTCCTTAGTCTCCTTTGGACATGACAGTCCCTCAGTCTTTCCGAAGTCTTTCAGAGCCTTGGCACTTGTTCAACTATTCTGTACAATATCCCTCGGTTGGATGTGTCTGATGTTTTCTCATCTAGATGGAGGGTATGCATTTTGGCAAGCAGGCCACAGAAGCGATGTGTGTTCTCAGCACATCACATTTGGGGTACACAATGTCAATATGCCTTGTTATTGGTAATGTTACCCTTGATAACTTAGTTAAAAGAGTGTGGTGTCTGCTGAGTTTCCCTAGGAAAAGTTGTCTTTATTAAAAAGTAAAAATTATTTTTATTAATTGTAATCAATTAGTATCTTGAGAGAGACACTTGAGACTATGCAAACATCCTGTTTTTCCTCACATTTGCACCCCTAATTTCACAGTCCATTATCATGTCTTGCGGCAACAGTTTTGACTCTGGTGTTTTCCTGATGGTTTTCTATTTCCCTCATTCCTTCTACATTTGCTCGTTTGCAGTTCTTCTATAAAGAAGAGCTGTCCTTTCTCCCGTTTGTATTCTTATTTTTAAGCACTTTGCCATAATACACTTTCAAGCACACATGGAACAGTTACCAGAATTAAATATATCCTGGGAAAAATAAAAATAAAAAATAAAGTGTTTCAAATTTGAGAAATATCTTAGATTTATAACCATAAACTATGTGACATTACTAATATTGAAAGAAAAACTGTATTGTAATAAATTCTTGCTCATACTAAAAAGTCTAGAAATATAATGAACTCACATTTCTTCAAGAAAACTGTTTTAAGCCTGATTTTTTTAAAAAAGGATATTCTAGTCAAAAGACTCTCTTCCTTTAAAACAGAAAGATGGAACAAGGAACGTTTTTATTGAAGGTAAAATGAAAACCCAGATGATAATCTTCCATTTATAGTCTGTTACAAATTTATGTAGATATAATTTTAAAAGCCTAAGTCTTACTTCAAATGAAATAACTTCCTAAGGTTTTGTAAACTGTAGTATTAAACTGTAAGCAGAGGATTCAGCATTAGGTTTCATGCTGCATTACTTCCTCCAGTGTTTCCTCTAAAGACCTGAACTACTTTTTGGCGATATACACTATGTACATTAGGGTAAGTTCTCTTCAGTGTATTAATGCGATTTCTTTCTCTCTAAAATAGCATTATAAATTTTTCTGAGTTAAATTCTGCAAAGAGCTAACCTGTAATTTGCCACGATCACAGTGTAACTGTGCAAATCTGCACCACGGTTTAGAACCATCACTAAAAACATTTTCTCTCAAATTGCTGGTATCAATGAACATGTAACTTAATCCTGCTACGAAACCCACAAAAGTTATGTTTACTGTAAAACCTCGTCTCAACTAGACCACTGGTCCAAGAAAAATATCTTCACATTGATTTTTCTTACACGTAAAAGTTATTTTAACTAATGTTTTCAGATCCTAGAAGTTATTTTCTTAAGCATATTTTGAAGATACACAAATTAATCTTACTCTACTTACGAAGCCTTATTAATTCTAATCAAACAAATTTCACTGAAGTGTATTCGAATCAAGACTTTATTAGAGGGGAAAATATTCAAAGAATTAGAAGTTTCGTTTTCTGTTGTAGCCCATGCTATGCAAGTACATCAGAAACAGAGTTTTTAACTTTTCTCAAAAGTTGCCTGCAAAAAGGAGGCTATTCTAACCAAAAATAAATTTTAAAATTCCAGATCAAGTATATTACAAAGTAAGCCTGAGGCATATTAAAAACACCACGTCTGATTTGTCTTGCGGCACCAACGTCCAAGCAGGAAGACTGGGTGTGCCTTCTCCAAATGTATGTGACAGGGCTCCCCAGGGGCACCAGCGTCACAAGCAGGGTGGGTATTCCACAAGCAAGACCTAAGTTAATTACAGTGCCTCGCGCTCCTTGAAAGATACTCGAAGACACCTGGCGATTAACTAAAATCATGAAAAGCTCACAAATGACTGAATTCTAACTAGGGGGCCCGTTCAGTTACAAGAAAAAAAATTACTTGCAATACCAACAATCCTTCACCCTTGTAATTTTCAAGGTACTTGACGGTAAACAGATTAAGAAGCTGTGCTCTTCGCGGAGAAGCCAGGTAGTGACTCCAAGCACCTTCCTACGCTGATGGACAGCGGCTGCGGCGGGGCGCGGGGACTTGGTAACACGGGTGGACGTAGTGACCACAGTGCTGCTCACGTGAAGCCTCCGTGAGATCGTGTCTCAATGATGCCTTAATAAAAAAAAGCTGCGCTCCTGGGCTCCCTGCCCTAAGGGAACACACCCCCTACCTACTTCGGTCCTGGAGCCCTCCCCTCGGGGCGCCGGCGCCACGGGCTCCCCTGCCCCGCGCCTCCGCAGCGCGGCCGCCCGAGGGCCGGTCGGGACGAGCTTCCGACGGCGGCTTCCCCCCAGCGCCGGGCCGTCCGCGCCCCGCTCCGCGCGCGTCGGCCGGTCACCCGGCCGGGGCCGAGGGCGTGACGGGAGAGCGGCCGGGGAGCGAGGAACCGGGGCACCGGCGAACTCGCAAGTAGTGCAGACAAAACGCGCCCGCCGCCGCAGACGTCCTCAGCGGGCCGAGGCCACGCCGGCGGCGGGCAGCGAGGGACGCGACGTCGCGGGACGGGGACGGCGGGCCGCACCGCGAGGCTGGCCGGGGCCCCGGCGCTCCGCCGCCGCCGCGCAGTCCGACGGGAAGCTGCACCGCGACCATCACCAGCCCGGGGCCAGGGCGGCCCTCCCGGCGGGGCTCGCAGACCCCAGACACCGCCCCTCACACGTCCCGGCGAGCGCCCTGAGCGACAGGCGACGCCCCCGAGCGCGGCCCGCGACCACCCCGCCTCCGCGCCCGGGCGCGGCCCGCCCGGACCCCGACCCACCCTCCGCGCGGCGCGGGCAGGGCAGGACCCGAGCGAGCCCGTCCCCCGCCCCCGCTCTTACCCATCTTTCCGCCGCGCCTTGTAGACGTGCCCGTAGGTGCCGCGTCCCACTTTGCACCCTTCGTACTCAAACAGATCCTCCACCCGCTCCCGCTCCGCCGCCAGCTTCGCCTTGAAATCATAATCCATTGTCTGCTTTCCCCATGGAGGCGCCGGGGCGCGGGGGCCGCCGCCGCTCAGTCCCTCCTCCCGCCGCGCCCGCCGCTCCGCTCCCGCAGCGGCCGCCTCTCGGCACGCGCCCCCGCCCCGCGCCCGCCTTCAGCAGGGGCCTTCTCGGCGGCCGCGGAAGCCACCTCCTCCTCCTCCGCGGCGGCGGCGGCGGCGGCGGCTCCCGCAGGCACCCCCAGTCCCGCCTCCCCTCTTCATTTCCTTGTTTTGGAACCCGGTGGGCCGCGCCGCGGCCGCCTGAGCTCATTAACTAGTCGGCCCGCCCGCCCCTCGGACGCGAGGCTCCTGGGAAATGTAGTCCTTGGTGCCCGAGGACTGCAAGCTCCGCCGGCCAAGGAAACTACCGCTCCCAGGGGACTTTGCGCCGCCACAGCCTCGCCCCTCGGCACGCACGCCTGAGCCGCCCGCCCTCTCGGGCAGCGCGGCGCCGCCAGTTCCTGTGAAGGAGGAAAGCGCCAAGTTGCGGCGTGTTTTTTGCTAGCCTGTGGGAGCTGGCGGAAGAAGGCCCTGGCCTGGTGTGAGGAAGGAACTGCGCTGTAACTGCCTCCGAGCGCTACGGGGCGTGGGAAGCACTTGACCAGCGCCTCGCCCAGGTATGCGAGCAGCGGGGACAGTACCGACGGCTATTTGTTTTTTGTGGCTATTGGTCGGCTGTTGCCCCGCCTCCCGGCCAGCCTCTCATTGGTGGGGAGCAAAGAATGACGTGCTCGTTGGCGCGTGGGATCCCGGCCTGGGCTCTCCAGCTCTGGATTGGCCGTCGGACGTGCTCGGTTCTGCCTGATAGGTCAGTGTTTCCCTTTACCACGCGAAAACCGTTTTTCAAAAGCCGTTTTTTCGTTGCAACGTGGGACTGAGGGGAACGCCAACTTCTGCCGCTGCGGCCGCCGGCACCCTTTCCTGGGCGCTCTACTCTTGGTCTTCTCCGAGGACGAAGAGCCGGGCCGGTGCAGCGTTTTAGAAACAGTCGCTTGGGTTGGACTGTGAGGGGGTTTTTACCGCCCCCGCCAGATGGGGGGCGTCCCCTGGGATGTGAAAGGCCCCTGACCAGGTGAACGTTGACTCACCTTAGTGCGTGGAGCACGTGTCAGATGCTTGGCACCGATCACCGATCTTAACCACACCGGGTGCTGCAGTAGGATTTCTGTGCCACAGCCAGTGGGAGCCAGAGGCGGAAAAGGTCTGTGCGGCCTGCGGCGGCGAGGAAAGCTAATAGTGACCCGCCGGCTAGATTTTGGGAAAAACCTGGAAAACTGGAGCAAGAGGGGGGAGGATGGCTTATTTACTCCAGCAGTAAGTTTCCTGGGAAGCTTCCTCAGATCTAGAAACCAAGAGGTATCTGAGTTTCACTAATTTCCAGGCACTGTCATAAATACTGGAGATACCAGATGAAAATTGGTCTGTTTCCATCAGGGCTGATACCTACTGCAGAAATAACCGTGCAAACAGATTTAAGATCAACTTTAGGTACGAAGGAATGGTAGAACAGGAGGCCTTCTAGAGGAGTGTTCACAAAGGAGGTAGATTTGAGCCAAAATTTAAAGAACTTTATGTGGAGGACAAGTAGGGAATTATTCTAGTCATAACAGCAGGAACATCTATCAGGAAACAACACGATCTACTCTGAGAAAGGCAACCAGCTTGAGTATTAAGGATTATGCAGGGAAAGGGAATGGCTAGGAAGAGACCTGACCGATGAGCAGAGGTCAGATTACAAAGTTATAAATGTCAGGCAGAAGTTTTAGATTTCATCATTCTGTGGGCAGGAAGAAGCCATTAAGGACCTTTGAGCTAAGGAGTAATGTGGTTAGTGTTGTGTAAAAATCCTCCTGACTGCGATGCTGGGGATAGACTGGAGGAAGGTAAGACCAGCAGAGAAGCTCTCGCATTAATATTTGTAAAACGCAAGAATCCAAACCATGGAGTGCCCGCGCTGCTTGTGAGTTACCAGGTAACAATTATTTATGAATCAAATTGAAGAGAGAATAATCCAGGATGACTTAAAGGTTTTTTCCTTCAACAATAAAGTGGGAAATAAAGGAATAGAAGCAGTTGTTGGGAGGAGGAGGATGAGTTTGGCTGGGGCATGTTGAACTCGAAACACCTGTGGGGCATTAAGACCAATAAAAAGCAGATGAATATTTTATGTCAGTAAGAAGATAAAAAGTCTGGCCTAAGTGTATAGATTCGGAAATCATCAGTGTGTGATGGTGGGGTGTGGACAGTTTTTGGTTGCTATTTTTAAATGTGAGGTTTTAAATTCATTGTATTCTCAATATCCCCATAAGGTGTGGTCTTTTATTATTCCCATTTTACATAGGAACACACTGGGACAGTAACCTGCAGAGCCAGGGCTTAATAAATACATTCTTGGGAGTAAATGGAAAGTGGAAAAATGTGTTAGTAAAAAAATCAGATAAAGATTTTGAAAAGCCTAATTAAAAAAGTAAAAATTTGACCACACCCTGTGTTACCCAGGATATGGGATAACAGCCACTTTCCCACGTTGCCAGTGGAGGTATATATTCACAGAATACATACCAATATATACATGAGATTTTTATCTTGGCAACATCTATCAAAATTACACAGTAATATCCTACAATTATACTCCTGTGGTGGGTGCTGTGATGTGCCTCCCAGAACCCCCTTCAAGACTGAAGGATATCCTCCCCCAAGCTGCTGGGAGTGCGGCCACAGCCAGCCTCCAATAAGCCACCTTCAGGAATTGCCTTGGCTCAAGAGCCTCACCTAGGTGATGCCATTTTCCTAGAGCAGCCTACATCGAGTGACTGATGAGTGCAGGGAAGTAAAGACCCAGACCTCTCACCCACTTGAGGACAACTGATGGGTCATCCTATCTTCAGAATTCCCTATCACGTGGACTGAAGCCATCACCAAGAATGCATTACAGACCAACTTCTCAGTCTCCCCCCGTCCTGCCCTTCTTTCCCTTCCAGAAGTATTGATCCCAGGAACATTGTATAATAAACTGATTACATGTTGCTATCCATCTCAGGGTCTGCTTCCCCAGGAGCCCAACTTGTGACATTCCAAACATGTGCAAGATGATATAATTCAAGTTATTCACTGCACATTGTTTCTCATAGGAAAGGACTGGAAACAACAGAAAAGTTTATTAGGAGGGAACTGGATAAATGAGCTGTGCATATCCATTAATGAATTATTATGCAGCCCTAAAAATAATGTGAACACTGTGACATATGCCTCTCAGATCACCTCCCTGCAGGCTCTCTGAATGGACCACTGCATCTGCAGTGAGGGCCCCCCACCACCGTGAGCTGCTCCCAGCCTGTGACTGAGGAGCCCAGGACACTAAGACAGGTCCATTCCAGCAAGATAGATTCATCCAAGGCGACTGGCCTAAGGACGCCCCAGGCCTACGCCTGTCTGACGTTTTCTTAGACCTCTCACAGTCTGAGTCCCTGCAGTCACTGCCTGCCCAACCCTCCTTCCCTCTCTCCTTCACAGGGGTCAGTTCCGCATCATCTGACCGCACCTCCAGCTTCCTCTTTTCTCCCTCACAGGCCTTTTCCCCACTAAATCTCTTTTATATCCAATACCATGTTGGTATCTGCTTTTTGGAAGACCAAGAAAATTAGGAAGTTGTGTGGGTATTGATATCAAAAGATCTCCAAGAAATATTAAATGAAAAAAAGAATCAAGAGTATAATATGCTAACCTGTTTGTACAAAAGAAAAAAATACATAGTTGCTTGTGCATGCATAGGGTTATCTCTAAAAAACCACAAGAAACTGTTCGCTCAGGGAACGGAAACTGCTTAAGAATAAGGAGTAGGAAGGAGAGAATCAGCACCATGTGCCTTGTTTGATCTTGATCCATGAGCTGTTACCCTTTCTAAAGGTAAGTAAATAAAATTTAAATGAAAAGTGGGAGCTTGGCTATGAAACGAAGGAGAAAGGATAGTAGCTGGCCTGGTCAAGAGAGCTGCAAAGTTCAGTTTTGTTAATAGTTTGATGTTAGTAGGAGGAAGGAACTTCCACGCTCAGGGGGAAGCTGGTGGGGAGAGGAGAGGAGAGGCCCTAGGAACTATTGGGGCTGAAATATGGGCTCTAGAACGAGATCCAAGCACAGGCAGTTTCACAGGGAAAGGAGGAAAGAGCTTTTTCAGAAGGTGGGTGGGGAGAGTCAGATTGCGTCCACGTGAAGAAAAGGAGATTGAAAAACAGATTCCTGGCCTCATAATAAAAATAACTTCTGTATGACACAGGAATCAATCAAATGCACAGATAAAAAGCTATGTTGATAAGAGCAGGGGTCTTGAGGAAAGAATGAATGGTTATGGTATTTTTTAATTGCATTTAATTATATGAATCTTCATATTCTTTTTTTTTAATTTTTAATAAGGTATTATTGATATACACTCTTATGAAGGTTTCACATGAAAAAACAATGTTTACTACATTTACCCATATTATCAAGTCCCCCCCATACCCCAATGCAGTCACTGTCCATCAGTGTAGTAAGACGCCACAGAGGCACTATTTGCCTTCTCTGTGCTGCACTGTTCTCCCCATGATCCCCCACAGCACGTGTACTAAACATAATACCCCTCAATCCCCTTCTCCCTCCCTCCCACACCCGCCCTCCCACACCCCTCCCTTTGGTAACCACTAGTTCCTTCTTGCAGTCTGTGAGTCTGCTGCTATTTTGTTCCTTCAGTTTTGCTTCATTGTTATACTCCACAAATGAGGGAAATCATTTGGCATTTGTCTTTCTCTGCCTGGCTTATTTCACTGAGCATAATGTCCTCCAGCTCCACCCATGTTGTTGCAAATGGATTTGTTTGTTTCTTATGGCTGAATAGTATTCCATTGTGTATATGTACCACATCTTCCTTATCCATTCATCCACTGATGGACACCTAGGTTGCTTCCATATCCTGGCTATTGTAAATAGTGCTGCGATAAACATAGGGGTGCACCTGCCTTTTTGAATCTGAGAAGTTGTGTTCTTTGGGTAAATTCCAAGGAGTGGGATTCCCGGGTTATGGTATTTTTTGGCATTTCAGTGGAGAATGAGAGCTAACATTTTTTGAATCCACATTTTATGAACTTAGCTAATATCCTTGCAACTTCCCTCAGAGGAAGGTATGTGTCACCTCCATTTCACAGATAAGAAAACTGAGGCTCTGGGAGGATAATCTGT